AATGGCAGTCAAAAGTTTTCCACTTCTGCGCACGGAACCATCCTCTGATCTGCATTACTTGTGGCTTTTATTTCAACATTTAGATATTCATTTTTTTGTAGAATTTTCTTCGTTGTACATTTTATTTACTGATTTTATATCCCTTGTAATTTTTAATTTATGTGTCTTAGGTAGCCAAATCCGATATGCTTTGCTTGTCTCTGAGTAGCCTAAGAAAATTCCTTCATCGGCTCTGCATTTTTTTTTTCTTTTGGCCCTTATTTAGGGCATAAACTTTGGCTTCAAAACAATGCATGTGCCTTACGGATGGTAAACGGCCAACCCATATTTCAAATGGAGTTTTATAATTTGTAATTTTTGACGGGGTTCTATTTGTTACGTAGTTCGCATTTAGTATAGCTTCAGCCCAGAAACTTTCAGGTAATTTGGATTGAATTAACATGCAACGGGCCTTATCCAATAAGGTTCTATTTTTTCTTTCAGATGTACCATTTTGTTGTGGCGTGTATGGGGCAGACAGCCTTCTTACGATGCCATGACTTTTAANTGTTGTGGCGTGTATGGGGCAGACAGCCTCCTTACGATGCCATGAATTTTAAGGTAGTTTTTGAACTCGAAATTTGTATATTCCGTCCCATTATCTGACTGTAGGTATTTGATTTTTTTATTTGTAAGATTTTCGGCTTCGTTTTTGTATTCTTTAAGTTTATTTAATACTTCATTTTTATGTTTCAGGAAATATATTTTGCAATACCGAATGTACTCATCGCTAAAAGTTACGGAATATCTGCAGCCTCCTAAACTGTCTATTGGCATTGGTCCCCAGACGTCACTGTGGACTATTTCTAGCAATTCGCGAGCTCTTGGCCTCATTGTTTCTTTGACCGGTGACTGTGACATTTTTCCTTGGATGCATATTTCACAATCTAGTTTTTCGTTTTCATTTATGTCTCAGCCTTTAAGTGCGTTGTTTTTGTAAGCCAGTTTCAGATCATTTTCATTTATGTGACCTAAATTAACGTGCCACTTATATAATTGACTTGAATAAAGTGATTTTTCTGTTTTTGTATATTTTATTTCAGTACGTATATAGTATAGGTTATTTTCCTTTTTCGCCTCTATAATCTTTTTGTTTTCTTTATTGTAAATGACGGCAATGTTTTCGAAAAAATAAACCTTACACCCTTTTTCAGTTAATTTTCTCACTGAAATTAAGTTTGTCGACAGCCCAGGAACGAACAATGTTTCACGTAGATTTATTAGTGTTTTTGTGGCTGAAGGTGACACTGCCTTTGCCACATATTTTCTCAATTTTATTAAACGAGGCTAACTTTAGTACACTTGCGTCAGTGCTGAAAATGTTATCGAACATTTCTCTACTGTAACACATGTGTGCTGTGCACCCGCTATCGAGACACCATTTATGAACATCTTTTTTACTTAATTCTGGTGTTGAAGCAAATTCGTTTATCCAAATGTTTTGTACATTTTCATTTTTTTACCTTCTTAGTTGTATTTTTGTTTTTGAACCAGCAGTCTTTAATTATGTGTCCAGGTTTGTTGCAAAACCCACACTTAAGGAATTTTTTGCTGGTTTTCCCTTTTGACTTGCTTGTGAATATATTTTGACTAACCACTCTTGCCTCAGACTCTTCTAAAATTTTTACTTTGAGTTCTTCGGGTGAGGGCAGTGAGTCCCTTGATTCGATCGCAATCCGGAAACTATCAAATGCGGTAGAAAGACTGTAGAGCATCATAATGCTCAGAAGGTCGTTGTGAATTTTGATTTCCATATTTGAAAGTTTATCCACGGTGTCCATGAAATCATTTAGGTGCTCTCTCACAGAAACATTTTCTGCTGAGCTAGCCTTTTTTAGTATGAGCTTCTTTAAGGGCCGGTTACTCAATGTCTGGTTAACACTAATCTCCGTTTAAACATCATTATCGACGTGTTCGGCTCCATGCATATAACATGGAGTCGGTAACGTCGATAACGATGTTTTACGGAGATTAGTATTAACCAGAAATTGAGTAACCGACCATAAGAGTGTGGCTTTCCTAGCTGGTCCTTTACTTTCGTAGATCTTCGCTAATAAGTCCCATAACTCTTTGGATGTGGTGGCGTTTTTTACCTGTCGCAGCTCCGGTGGCGAGATTGTAAGCAGCAAGTCTGATCGCGCAGGTAAATCTTGTTCGTCGAACAGGTCAATCGCCTGGTTACCCTCTCGCTTTTGCGTGCCGGAAACGTATTTCCACAGTCCATTTTTTATGAGAACAGCTTGTGCTTGTACCTTCCACGTGTCATAGTTGTCCTTTTTTAAAGGTTCAATAGAGTAAATACTGGCTTTGGCCATGCTCAATACACGAGGAGAAAATGGGTGGACCACGTGGTAGTCAAGTGTTTTCCTTTTTTACTGTCGGTCGGGGCCTGGGACCATAACCTGATGAAAAGCGAAGCTTGTTGACCGGAGCGACAAAGAAAAACGATGAGGATAAAGTATAATGAAAACTTTATGTTTTATTTAATTTAGTTGAATTTGTTCACAAGAGAAAAATGTAATGGCGGTTTGTCTAATAAAAAGGTTATGACGTATGTATGGGTTATATTCGCTAATAAATTTGTACATATACATATATGTTTGACATATGTACGATGTTGCCAGAGTGTGTCTTTTCTAACAATAATATTCATCTTTAATGCATGCTGATATTCATGCCCCAATGCCTGCCACCGCATGCATCCAGACAGTTCATTAAGCACACCCAAGTTTGATTGATCTACAAGTTATAAGCGTTTTCAGCATTTAACAGTTCATAATCATGTACGGTGTAATATAACAAGTTATACACTGAACTATGATAATCTGTATTAGCATCTATAATAATAGACAATAATTTGCAATGTTTTTACACTTTTGCAATTAATTTCGGTTACTATTACACAGTCATGACTTGTGCCACTCTGCCATAGTACGGTTGTTGCTCCCTTTCATACCACAGTAATTTTGTATACAACTCTGAGTGAAAAAAATGCATGCTCCTTCTCATTATCAATCCTGATCAGAATTACTGTGGTATGAAAGGGAGCAACAACCATACTATTACTACGTTTATACGCACGCATTATTTGCAAATAACAATTTGCAAAATGGTAAAAATTGCCGTATAAACGCTGTTAATTTTTTATTTGCAAATAACTAAATCACGCAAATAAGTATTGATTAGTGGTACTATTTGCAAATAAGCGCAAGACGCTACCATTCTTAGGTTAATTTTCCTTTTCGATGGTCATCTTATTGCCTTTTTATAATCAAGACGTTGCCATTTTTAACTTTATTTTCCTTTTCGATGGTCATATTATTGCCTTTTTATAATCCGGCAATATTAAAAAAGAATTTTTCACCATCGAATAAACAGTGAGTTAGTTATTTGCAAATTATTTTTATTTGCAAATAGCTTACGTATAAACGTAGTATATGGCAGAGTTGCACAAGTCATGACTGTGTAATAGTGCCCGAAACTAATTGCAAAAGTGTAAAAACATTGCAAATTATTGTCCATTGTTATAGATACTAGTACAGATAATTCATAGCTCAGTGTATAATAATTAATATTACACCGTACATGATAATGAACTGTTAAATGCTAAAAACGCTTGTAACTTGTAGATCACTCAAACTTGGGTGCGCTTAATGGACTGTCTGGGCGGATGCGCTGGCAGGCATTGGGGTCTGTATAACTATACAAACCTTGTTTTTTTTTTTAATAAAAACTTAAATATATTCGGAAATTTAGAATTTGACTTGATAAATTCACAAAATTTACGCTTTTCATAAAAATATAATCTTACAATGGACTTTTTTATTTTAAACTTACATTTAAGAAAACTCCATTCAATGCTAATAATTACGATTTAAGTTTTCCAGTTTATAAAACACAAGCGTTAATTACGAACTTAACTATTGATATTATTCTTCATTAAGCATGAATACCAGCATACATTAAAGATGAATATTATACTTCACCTACATTTTGTTCATAAATAACACATAATTATGTATATTTTATCCTCGAAATGAACTTTTCCTAATCATGTGGCGAGATTCCCCACAGTAAGTGTTGCCGTGCGCGAAAAACGAAAGCGCTGCACACAACTCAAAAGTACTCCTCGGTGACCAAATGGTGAAAAACTGCGAAAAGGTTTATTCCTGTATATACTGTGATATTGTGGTTGCCCAAATATGAAGCTTGCTGGTATAGATGAGTACCCATTTTATTTTTGTACAGTTTGAAATGTGGATTTATATGGTGTTTGTTATATAATGAATTAGACGTTTTAACAAAATTAATCAAAAGAAAAATAGCCAAAGTGGTCACAATTTCGGGTCTCTATTTTTCACGTCATTGTATATACTTACAAATCAACCTCACATCCTTTAAGTTAAATGAAATGCGAAGTTTTTATTTCGAATATTCATCATTAAAAATGTATAAATATACATACACTGAAATAGCACAACTTCATGGAGAGTAAATATCTACTCAACAGTATCATCATCAGCGACACCATCGTTCTCAACAGCTTCCATGTCCTCCTCACCCTCGCCGTCTTTCTTATCGGCTGGTTTCTCATATACCAACTCCAGCGGTGATACAACCACGCCATTCCACACGGACATTTCTCGCACAATACTAGTGTTTCCTTCTAATCCAAGTATATGCTTATATCCACCATGTGCAAGAACCCTCAAAAGAGTTTGAGCTGTCAAACAGCAAACATCTTGTTCCTCTAATGTCATTGCGGTATGCACGCGAATATGTCCTGGTTCACATGGGTCAGTAATACCAGCAGAGCCGGGCAAAAATAGTCCGGCTGAGAGCAACTGAAAAACACGCCTGAAAGCCAAGTTTATTGGCAAAGCTTGGCGAGATGGATTATTCATAATTGACAAATGTGCTATCAAATCTAGCATCCATGGAGAAAGAGGTATAAAAGCCTCAAACCGTTTTGTGAGATCTTTCAGTATGCGTATTAATACCTTAATAGAAGAGTGGTGTGCGTTCTCTTCAAACCATCTTGTGTGACGAATAGCAGCGAGATGAGATTGCATAAGTTTTTGGTCTAAATGAATATCTGCTTCTAATTTTCGCAAATTTTGTGGAAGCGTTGCTATTAAAATGCAAACTTTGGCCTGCCAATTTGCTACGTCAAATCCACGATCGTGAATAGTGGTGAAGATTTGATCAGCTTTTGTCAATACTTCCGTCTTCATTGCATTCTTAAGATCAGCTTCGACCTTTTTAGCTAAAGCTTCGCATGCTTCCTTTGTAGGCAAAGTTTTCAGTATAACGACGATATCAGCAATATTTTTTCCAGATAACATTGTTCCTTTTTTAAATGATCCCACTTGACGCACTTCCTCCAATTGCTGAAATTTATATTTAAACATAAAAAAAACCAAGTGGGTTATTATACTATCGCACTGACGTCGAGTAAAAAATATAACATATACAAACGTACATATTAAGGCTCAGTTATTCATACCTGGCATTGCATGAGAGTTGTTATATAAATAATCTGTTGAATGAGCTTTGCGTATAAGCGGTTACCCAACGCACAGCATTACATATGTAGAAGTCTGTTCAACAAACTATGCATTGCAGTGCAAAGTATGCATCCTTTGCCTTTGCCTTGCCTTTTTTATGCCTTTGGGCTTGGGGAGCTTTTGAACTAAAGAGCGAAAAATCCAGCTCTTTTAATTGAACTAGTTCATTATCTTATTCGTTCATTAAAGTGAACTAAAGTTTTCTGTGGCAACACTCCAATAACAATAGAAATGTAATTTTACAAGAACCAGCTGATTGAAATTCGCGCTAAAAAGACATTGGGGCTGTTCAGGATGTTGTGGAAGTTGTCTTGAATTTGCAGTTGGAATTGCATTTGTAAATTTTTTTCTTTCTGCCATGGCAACCGTCTGCATATTATTGTGAATTTACATATGCAACGAAAATGCAGTTCCAAGAACATATGGACAAGATCCTGAACAGCCCTATTTTATTTTATTTAACTTCCAATGTTTTACATCGTTTGGTGCAATTTGAGTTGTGTGACAAAAGTAAGTATTTGAGTTGAGTTTTTGGGATTTGTTTTATCTTTCAGATGACAAAGCGAAAATCAATTTTCTCGCATTTCGAAGGCAAAGTTGGAGAAAAGAAATATAAATGCACGCACTGCTAAATTCACATCGAATCCTTTCGTGATTTTGGCCAGACGAATGAATGAAGACGACTGACTTGTGTCGTTATTGCAATCTTTTATATGTATGTACAGATGTGTTATAAAAAATACTAGTGGACCCGCATGGCGTCAAAACGCCAACATTTAATTAAGTTTTTTAAACAGGTGAAACCCTATTCGAAAACCTCTAAAAATATTCTTAATGATTAATCTAAACCATTTCTCAGTGATGAGAGGTCTCGCTTGGTGCGGGTTTTCATTTCATCAAATTTCAAATCTCCCTTTAACTTCAAAAAATTAAACCTGTGCACATCTATGTAGAGTCCCAGTTCTTTAATTTGACTTCTATTTAGGAAATTCGAAATAACGGCGCAGACCTTCAAAAAAAAAATATATATATATATATATATATATATGGCAACTCTAATTAAACATATTATCAGCCTATAGTTTCCTTAAAACTCTTTTGACACTAATATTTCGATATTTTATTTATGTATCTTTCGTATAAATAAAACACATCCGACTTTTCAAACAGGTGGGAACCCCTTTAGAAGTACTTTCAAACTAAAATCTTTCGTCTGGCATTGTTTTACGTATTTCAATTAACTGATCACCTGAGTTGAATTTGGTTTTTTTAAGCACATGGCAACTCTCCTAAATACAGTTTTCGAAATAAATTATTTTCAAACCCATTTCGATTGATACCCATCTTTTGACAATCCATTTAACTTATTAAATAATTTGAGCTCCTTCTTGTGATAACCATATTTTAAAATTTCATGTAACTTATGTATAATTAAACGAAATACCACAGCGATACCTTATTCACTTACCAAATTCCTTTAATTAAAATTGAATTACATTTTCTTTAACATGTGGCAACGTAGTTAAGTTATAAACCCTTTTCAAAACCATTTCAATTGATAATAATAATAATAATAATAGATTGGCGCTTAAACATTTGTTAGTGTTTGGCGTGCGCCTTGATGTTGTCACACAAAGCGGAGGGACCTACTGTCTTACGCCGACTCCGAACGGGGATCGTATTTTTGTGAGAAGCTGCTTTTCATGGCAGAAATACACTCGGAGGTTTGCCATTGCCTGCCGAGGGACGACCGCTGTTAAGAAAAAACCTTTTTTGACCAGTGCTTGAACCCAGGTGCAGCGTAGTGTAAGCGCGCACTGCTTACCACTACACCACAGCGGCGGACTATTAATTGATACCCATATTTAATAACTGANCCTTTAATTTGGTACCTCACTTTTGAAAATCGAACTAACGTTGCGGATATGAGGGCATTGATTAGTAAATAACTTCAGTTTAAATATTTAACAGGTGGCAACTCTTTTCGAAAAAATAAAACCAGTTTGCACATCTACACCCCATTTTTGAAAATCGTACGAACGGTGGAGATCTTTTATGCTGCACAAAAAATGCCTTCGCGTATTATATATATAGATATTTTTGTTGTTTTGTAAATCAGGTCCTACTACCGAACTAGTTCAATAAGGTGAACGAACAAAGACTCAGAAGAACTAGTCCATTCAGCTGAACGAACTAGAAGTGAACTAATCTCTAAAGTGAACTAAAAAATCCAACTCTAACACATATGTACATATCAACAGTTCATAACAAAACATTTATTTATCCCATTGCTCAAACCGGGGAAACCAGCCAACAAAGGAGATTCTTGTCGACCGATAACACTCCTTTCCCCGGTAGCGAAAGCACTAGAGAACTTAGAGAACTCCCGTATTTCACAAACCACCTGCACCAGCGAAACATCAGCATGGTTTCCGTAAAGTGCACAGTACAACAACAGCACTTAACGCCGTAAACACTCAGATAACACGTGGCCTTAACCGTAACCGTCGCTGTGAGAGAACTATTCTAGTAGCGTTGGACCTGTCAAAGGCGTTTCACACTGTCAGCCAATCCACGCTACTAGAAGATAGAGCGGCTTCCTCTCTCTCACAGAGAGTCAAACGGTGGTCGGCGAATCATCTGAGTAGTCGACTCTCGTTGGTAATGTTTAGAGACAAATCGATCAAACTTAGGAAAATAAAACGGGGGGCTCCACAGGGTGGTGTCCTTTCCCCGTTACTGTTTAATTTTTACATTTCAAAGCTCCCTTAACCACCAGAGGGAGTCTCGATTGTCTTCTACGCCGACGATTGCTCGATCATGGCGACTGGGAATGGAATTGATGACCTGTGCTCGAAAGTAAACGGGTAACTCTCCGAGTTTTCTCGCTTCTTCACTGCAAGGAGCCTAACCCTCTCCCGTACGAAATCCTCTGCGACCTTGTTCACAACCTGGACGAAGGAGGTCAGGCTACCGCTGGGAATTCACGTCGATGATACCCCAATTCCGGTGAATAACCCCAAAATACTCGGAGTAACTTTCGACAGTCTGCTCTCCTTCTCTGCGCAGTACTTGGGGCAAAGATAAATAAACGTTGCTGGCAACATACAAGGCAATAGGCCGGCCGGTTATAAATTACGCAGCACCAGTGTGGTCACCGGGGACTAGTAGGACGCAGTGGATGAAGCTGCAGACTACTCAAAACACCGCACTACGGACAGCGACTGGATGCCTTCTGTTTCGCCCAAACACTATACAAACTATAACACTGTGCTCTGCAAGCAGTTCCTTGCCGGGAGCCATAGACGTGATCTCCCGAATGGGCAGCTGCTTGCAGAAGAGCCCCCGCCCAAGCACGTTAGGAGGCATCTCTGCGAACTGACGGACGAAGTCCAGAGGTTCATTAGACAACTTCTGGACCCGTCAGCAAATCGACAGGCCCTGAACGGCATTCACAGGGAGTCGAGTTATGTAGACTCCAGACCTGTGAATGCCGTTTTAGGAACACAGCCACCGGACAGAAACGAGACGGAGCTCCATCTGCCTCGGGAAACAAGAACCACAATAGCCCAACTTCGTTCTGGCTACTGCAGCAGGTTAAACTCATACTTGAGCAGACTATATGCGGATGTGCCGAAAGAGTGTCCGGCATGCGGAGAGACACGTAATGACTCCAAGCATCTGTTCGTATGCCCGGAAAACCCAACAACTCTAACGCCTTTGTCCCTGTGGACCGACCCAATTGAGGCTGCACGCTTCTTAGGGCTGCCGTTAGTGGAACTTGACGACAACGACTGAGATATTAATCGATGTGGGCGGGGTTGTTGTAGCCGCTACAACAACAAACACAACTCGGAGTAAGATTCGACAGTCTGCTCTCCTTCTCTGCGCACACAACCGCAAATGTCAACAAAGTACAGAGTCGCAACAAGGTCCTCAAGTCGCTAGACGAAAGTACCTGGCCCAAAGACAAAAAAACGTTGTTGGAAACATAGAAGGCAATTGGCCGGCCGATCCTAAATTACGCAGCACCAGTGTGGCCGCCGGGGACCAGTAGGACGCAGTGGACGAAGCTACAGACTGCACAAAACAGCGACCGGAAGCCTTCTGATGTCGCCAGAACACCACCTGCACAACGAGGCGAAAATGCTCCTCATAAAGGAACACAACACAATGCTCTACAAGCAATTCCTAGTAGGGAGCCATAAACGTGGACACCCGAACATATACCTGCTTGCAGAGGAGCCCTCGCCAAGGCATGTCAGAAGGCATCTTAACGAACACCCCACGACTCGAAACATATCTTCGATCCTATAGAGGCTGTGTACGATTTTTGGGTCTTCAGTTAGTTGAGCTTGACGACAACGACTGAGATACTAACCGATTTGGGCGCGTTTTTGTAGCCGCTACAACAACAGCAACAACAACAACCTCATGATTATAGGTTGAACAGTTAAAGCATGAACTCGTAACAAAGAAACAAACTCACTTTCGTATTTATAATATTAATAAGGATTATAATAAAAGCAAGCTTTTAGTTTTCTATGAAACTTTGCTAGTGGACATGCAAAGAATTTAACAACAATTTAGTTAAATACCATTAAAAAGGTGAAGAGTGATAAATAATGTAAATATAGGTTTCTTAGCATCCCCGCCAAGTTTCATGAGAAAATTAATTATAGTGGTGTGAAAGTGTTTTCTGCAAAATGTGTTCAGCCCCTCTTCTTCGGCAGTGAGGGTTATAATTACCATTCGTACCGATTTTAGCGGGCCAGTTCCGATTTTGAGAAAGTTATCCGGCTGAATAATTAAAAAAATTCGGG